GGTCCTCTTGTAACTATGTTTGATTGGAGGGTCGGAATCCCTACTATCTTCAGGAGAGCGGAAGGTCTTTTAATGCGATCTGCGATCATTCGCACGCACGAGGCAACTAGGAAGCAGTGTCCATTAAGCATAGACCTGAGAGTGGGAGGAGGACTATCCATTCTGCCGAATGGGTGACTGCAGTATTCCGTTCTCAAAATTGACCGCGACCCCACCAGAAGAATGGCAAGGGAGCCGGAAGAATAGAAGAAAAAGAAGAAGTATGTAAGACGAAGAGGCTGCGCGTTACGGAGTAGGGAGAGAGTATGGCAAGCGTGCCAGACGCACACATCCTCTCACATGGACCGTTGTATTGTCGTAACGTAAACACAGGATCATTCGCTGGTTTGAAAGAACAAGCTTGTCATTCGCACTTTCGATCAAAAACGCTGCATATTCCGATTTTCTGAACCTAGAGAAGGAGGTAGTATTGTGGAGTCCTTGTCAGGCAAAACCCTTGGGGGAGGGAGAGGGGAGGGCAAAGTGAGAAAAGAGGGCGAGAGTGGGTCGTATATGCCAAATTTTTCCGATACATGACCGAACGGCTTAACAGAATAGTACTTGCTTGGAACTTTTATGGCTCAGAAAACGTTCATTTAAAAAATTTCATTCAAAATCAGTAGTTAGAACTTCTTCTCGATGACAGTATAGAAGGTCTTACAGAAAAGACAACTACACATCATTCCGGAGTGGAAAAAACTTAGTTCACTAATTCTGGAAGAAGCACAGAACGGTCAGAACATCCCCTTGCTCTTTCACTGTGTACAAGCCGTTGCATCCGAAATTCGCACCTGCACTAAGCTCCCGGACCTAAACAAAATGAAGATTTAGCTTCAGACAAACTACAGTCTTATTTAAGGAAACGTTTGGGGACAAAAATGAGGTCAGGGGATCTTAAATGAATTATTATAGAAATTTGTATTTTTAGCTGGAAGGCTAATCCGCGATGAAGTTTTACCTCATTAGTTCCCTGGTTGCTTAGTTTTACCTAGTTCTTTACCTAATTAAGAACCTGCTTGATTTTGCTCTTCGTCCGATGGTGTACATCGTACAGTATCGTAAAACCTTGTTCATATTGGCACACCTTTGAACATCGCTCCAAAACTTCAATACCTCGAATGTGAATGGGACGAATATAGCTGTGCAAAATGGCAAACTTTTCGATTCGCTATATCTCCCCAGATTTCGTGAGATTTTTTTCCAGTGCTTTTCGAAACGTTCGCCCTTTTTGGAATACAATCGCTTCTCTACAATTACGACCCACAGAAACGCAGGATACGATCCGATCTGTAGGAGCACATTCCGACGAAGCTTGCGAGGCACAAGGCCACTACTTTAGCTACTAAAGTAATAGTGAAATTGTTTTTCTCGAGTCATTTCAAAATCTGAAAATTTCAAATCTGAAGACAGAAAATGCACAATGCGCTGTAGACAAGTGAAAAAACAATTTCTGCATCGAATCGTGAATCTAAGAAAATACGATGAAATTCCGCAAATA